CGCCCGCCCCACGTGACGATGACAGGGCCCGTCTGGTTGTGGAGCCGCAGCTTATAGTCATAGAAGGTCTGCGTCGGACCCCACGGAAGCTCATTGATGGGCAACGGCTCCATGTATTTGCGAGCTCGAGTGCACTCCATCAGGAATGTACAGACAGTCTGCAGACTCGTCGAGTCCTGTCCCTCTTGCATATCCTTTTCTGGTTTGGCAAATATCTGGACACACATACGGACACACATCTCATGAATTTTAATTAGAAATTAAATGAAATTAAAAATCAAAACTAATTTTTATCAGAATATTAACTCAAACGGAAATCCTAATACGGATTTGTACAATAAACTATTGTAGCGTTACAGTAGGTATACTGTACAGGGCAATACTCTAATCATTAAGTATTAACCAATAAAATGGTCAGTTTTTATGGCAGCAAAACTTGTTGGCAAACCTTTAGGAAAAATCTTCCCTCGAGTGGCGGCTGAACAGCGAAACTGCCGACAAGTCTATCTTCTTTGAGCTGACAAAACACGTAGTGATTGAGCGACGAGTTCTCGATCTCATCCGACGGATAGAGTTTGTATTTATATCGCATCGCTTCGTGGGAACCGATCTTCACTTCCGTTGAGATCCGAAACACCACTGGATTCTGGATTTTTGACCGAATTTTCAGATTAAAGTCGAAAAAATTGGGCGAAACTTTGGGCAATGAATTGAACTCGTCTAATGATAGTGGTTTGTCCAGTAATTGCCACCTATTTGTTAAATAATGGCAAACATATTGTTATATTCTTATTATTCATAAATTAATTCAGTACTGGTTTTATAATTTAACTAGTATAAACTTTTAAATAGCTTAAATTTGTCATTTAAATGTACTGTATTCTGTGAATTATAATAAATATTCACTATTTCAAAAGAGATAAATTGCATTAAAAATAAAAAATTTATTATTTAAATATTCAATAATTTGATTCAACACACGTATTCAGTAGTATATGTATGGGAAGGGCTCGTGAACTGACCTAAAATCACACATTCCTACTGTAGTTTTATAACAAAACTCAATAAACATATACAAAGTACTGTACAGTACTATAAACTTATAAATAATTTATTCTGTAATAAAATTATATTCTTGTGTAGAATTTTGTAATTTCAAAATACATTGAATTAAATTCTTACTTATGGACCAAATATTGCATATAAAATATCTATTACTGGAAATATTTTCTTGTAAAATACACAAAATTGAATTGATTTAAATGTAATAAGAATTTAGGTAAAGTTAAACATAGAAAAAGTAAAACAAATAAACATCAATCATACGGTAATAAAAAAACTATTACTGGAAATATTTTCTTGTAAAATACACAAAATTGAATTGATTTAAATGTAATAAGAATTTAGGTAAAGTTAAACATAGAAAAAGTAAAACAAATAAACATCAATCATACGGTAATAAAAAAAACATTATTACAGTAAATACAGAATCGTATCAAAAACTTTAGGACAATATCAAAAGTTTTAATGTAATTAAAACAGTATAAAACTACAATAAAATATACTTTTGCATTCAATTTCCAATATAACCGCAAACATTTTTCCAGGATCTAAAGTTTTGTTGCACTTTTAAAATCGACTAATTCTTATATATAGAAATATGTGTTATGTTTTGCTTAACAGACATGCAATATGTGTTTACACGGCATGTATTGATCGTATGGATTGAATAATGCAAACCTCGTATAATTGTTCTCCATTTCCATGTATGGAAAGTGCGTCCAAATCAATACTTCGGGATCCGTTAGGAAAAAGTGCTCATTTAGTTTGCGCTGAAACTTTCCTGACGGCTCCGTATATCCTGTGCCCCAAGTGGTGTCT